TTGTATAAAATAAGTGTTATTATGTGCAAATTAGTCTAGGATAAATATTATCTACTTTGCTTTAAGTTGGATATATCGGTGTTTATTTGTCTCTTTTTATTGTTTTATATATTTTTGTTGAAATTATTTTAAGAAGTATACATAATTCACTTTTTGTGTTTATCATGTATATAATAAACGATTATTGCATCTTATACCAATTTTAATTATGTGTTTTTAATATTATATTAATCTGAGTTTAACTGATTCATTGAATGCAACCAGAATTTGTTTGTTTTATAAAAGTATATCTAAAATATGTTATATTTATATAAAATTACAACATTTAATTCTATGATTTTTGAAAAACCCCATTCTACTCTTTGTTTTTTGTTTTTTGTTTTTTGTTTTAGTTTTTTATTTATTGATGTTTGTATATACTATTATTTAAATGTTAACAAATAAATTATGTAATATTTTTATATAAATATATTCTGTGTTATAGCAGAATAAACCAATAGTTTGTTTATCAGATCTTTTGATTTTATAAATTAATATTTACAGTACTATTGTAGCATTCTATCTACAGAATGTTTTGTGTTATTAAACATCTATTTTGTAAAAATTTAAGTATTTTTCGCTATTTTGTTCTAAAGTCTCATCGTAATATACTTTTGTGAATAAATATTTTCCTTACATTTGCTTATTTCTATGTTATTCACATTTAAAAATTTGAATCAATTATCATCTTTTTAAGAAACCAAGGGCTACAATAAAAGCATGAACATTCATTAGTAACATGAAAAGGTTTTGTGATTGTAAACAATTCCGTTTTACTGATACGTTTACTTTAAGAGCGGTTTTAAATGTTTATTATCTGTTTTTTTATTCCACCTTATGTTACATAATAATTTGAAATTATAATGTTTATACATGGAAGATTCTAGTTGTATCTTCTTTGTTTCAAATGTATGTTTGATCAAGAATATAACACAAACATTAGCATATATCATTTGATGATTTGTTTAGAGGAGTATTATAATGAATTTGCTTACATATCACTTTTATACGAAGAGAAAATCATGATATTGCCATTTATTTAGCTTTTATCTGTTTATTTATATAAATATTTCAAAGAAGGTTGATTCATAGTGTACTTATAATGCAATTGTAAGCAAATCTCATACTACTAGCATATTTTTTGGGACAAATCAATGATATATTTCATTTTCACCTGTTCTTGTTGACACCTCCTCATAAAATTCTTAGTCAATTTTTACCCATTCATATGCAGCAGGGACTAGAGAATGATAAAGACGCAGTGTTTAAGAAATACTACACTACAATCTTTCCATACAACGAGATATTCAGAGTATTGAACATCAACGAGAACAAAGAATTGGCTTTTGGTAAAGATTCTGGCACATTCATAAGGTATGAAACATTCTGTAACGCAAATGATTTCTATAGGAGAATATGCCAAGTGATTCCATATAGAATAGATGTGGGATCCACATTCAAAAACAGACCAACCAAATACGATCAAAACATCCTGGTTAGTAGGCAACTTGTCTTTGATATTGATTTAACAGATTACGACCGAAAATGCTGTAAGGAAAAGAAGATCTGTGCAAAATGCTATGACCTCATCAAATGTGCAATAGAAGTGTTGAGTCACATTCTAAAGAAGGAATTTGGCTTTGATCAGTTTGGATTTGTGTTCAGTGGACGAAGAGGTGTTCATTGCTGGGTATTTGGTGAAGATGACTTGGATGCACAGGTAAGAACCAACATATTCAAATACTTTGATATTGTGATATCGAGAAACTTCCTTGAAAGTGAATACGAAAGAATTCTACAAAAATACGCAGGTAACACCGAGAAAATAGAAGATCTTTTGAAATGGTTTCCAAAAATAGA